GTATATATTTTGGGTTAGTCGAGTGAATTTTGAGCAAATTCAATTTATAGTTTGAGTTTACTGTTTCAACTTCTTTCAGAATAAGTCCAGGAACTTTTATTTTTTCTTTAAAATCGTTTTTATTTATTTTATTTCTTAGAAAGTCAACATGAATTCGTTTATATTAGTAAACAATATGTAAATTGATTGAACTCGCCGACAGATAAAATCCGTGAGTTTCTTACAACTTACAGGCTGTGGTGCAACGCGCAAAATAATTTCCCCAAGAAAATTTTGCATGATTCGTGGAAATCATTATTTCAACTTTAATTCAGGTTGTCTTTTTGGTAAAAATTTTTCGTCGCACATGAAAAAATATCTGATTATTTTTACCCCACTTTAAGAGGAGTTTTATATGTGCTCCAAAAATAAATTAARTAAAAATCGAAAAATTTCACCAAAATTACTAAAACTCTACAAATTGTTTCTTAAGATACCAATTAACTACTATTTAGTCTTATTACAGTGCTAGGTTGCTTTGTTTGGTCGCGATAAGCTGTTAAAGTTGATGTAAATTATCGGCCGAAAATTAGCGAATTTAGTTCAAAACTCTTTTCTTCGATTTTCTCGAAAACTAAGCCATATTTTACCAAACAAACTACACAGTGGTTTTACTTACACTAAGGCCTACCTAAGTTTAAAATATTAGCAAAATCAAATTTTCGACCCTTGCCACCCGATGTTTGATTTTTGCTGACATGCCTTCTTAAAAATCAAAGTCGATGCTTTACCTTAATGGGCATATATTTTACCTAGTCAGTTTGCACAACACTACTTTACCCACAAGCAAAGTAAAATGATAGTAAATGATGTCTCAAGACGTTTACGCCACAATGATGTCAAAAAACCGCTAAAACGTAGCCTCAACTCCGCAATTTATTTAGATATTATATGAACATCTTGATAAACTAGATATTTTACGAATCGTTGCCTCGTTGTACACAATGGCTTCGCTGTTTGCTCTTCTTCTATTTCTTTTTCAAGCTGTCGACCTAGAAGGTAAGACATTTAATTCACTAAAAGCACTAGAATATTCTATTAAAAATCAATGCGGAAAGGGAACAAGAGAATCGGGAGATCCAGTCCAGCACCGAGGTTCTTCAAAAAGGAACGGACTTAAAATGAAGCTTGAGCGTAAAATGTTTGTATTCATTATTCTTTCTTTCTTCAAGTTTCTCATTTTCTATAACAATAAGTAGGGAACTCTAAGAAGCAAAATTAATTAAAGTCATAAACCAAACTTAAGCATGAGTTGAAATAAATGCTAATTACGCTCATATTGACTGATATATATCTTGGCAAACGTAACTTTTATCGCGGGCACCAGTACTAAGCTCAGTTATGTCAGCCCAAATGTGTTTTCGAAACTCTCCGTTTTCGGTCTCAACGAAAAGGCATCAAAATATTCGCGTCTACACTAGCGCTTTCATAGTGTTTTTACCCATCCACAATAAACATTCACACATCCACATTCAAGCATCATTTGCGCATCCATTTGTTTGCGATCGTTTTAGTGGGCGCAAGGCCAAAAGACATCGAAAGAAAGACATCAAACGAAAACACAATAGTGTGGACGAGGTCTTAATTACAAGTGTCAGTTTTGCACGACTCTGCGCTCAAAGGTGTACAAGCCGATGAGGGGGATCCCAAAGATTTAGATAGTATTCTTAGATTGCACGTTACGGCATAGCTGTCTTGTTGGTTGACGATAACAAAAGCCTACAAGGCTATAGCGTTGTTTTTTTGTTCCTCCTTTCAATGAGTTTTTGGTCATAAGGTCAATAATTAAAAAAAGTGCGTAACACCTGCACATCCTCTGAAATACTTGATGAATGCCGCACCTTACTTTAGTCTAGCTCAAAAAGAGGCGGAGCTAGGGGTGGGAAATGTAGGGGTGCAGGGCTCTAATTTTTCGAAGTCCAAGATCCATGATTTGGACTTATCTTGCACCAACCACTTTAGTCTATTCTTGATAACCATTCCTAGTGAAAAAAGTTAGATTGAAATTAATGTATGAATTTTTACTTCAACTCGATTCTTCATTTAATGAACTTATAGGTTTGACTAGCTGGCCAGGTGGAAAATATGGTATGTTAAAACCCACAACTGGCTGTCCTGAAGAATGGACCAAAAAAAATTGGAAATACACTAAAGTGATAAACTGGCGCTACCGGAATTGGTACTACATGTACATGGGATGGACAGACAAAGGATATGTCTTACAAGAGACAAAAGCAAATTATCCAAACAATACCAGTTCAGATATCTTACATATCCAAGGACATGTTGGCCCAAACTCCGTCTTGAGGTACTTTTGCGTTAAAAGAACTTATGTGAACTGGTTATCCCCGATAGAATGGCCACAAGGTAATGAAACAATTTTTAGCCTGATCGATTCTTATCAATTATATAAACTATATTATTAATTAACATTCTTTGCTGATGTCTACGAATGCATTCTATGAAATAACTGTTATAAATATTCTCGTGTTCTGATTGGTTGAGAGCGCATGCTTTATGAAAATACACAGCACGCGCGCACACTTTCAGTTGCCTTTATGAAATAATAGTTATTGTGATTTGTATTTTATAAAACAAATAAAACCTGATTGCTGTGCTGTGTGAAGTTGTAAAAAGCACTTGCAGATTAGTTGAACACTTGAGAAGCGTTGAGAAGTACTCCGTTACGCGTCGTGCTTCTCCTAACACTTTTCTTGTGTTCTGCCAACTCCCACGTGCGTTATGACTAAACACAAGTTAACACGCGCGCGCGTTTTTTATTTCTTCAAAATAAAAAAGTATGTATTCCCACCCCCTCTTTTAAATTGTGAGACAGCGCATAACAATATTTCTTTTAAGGACGATACTGTATCCACCAAAATGGAAATCATCACAGTGTGCCAAGGGGAATTATCTATATGCTGTATGATACAGACGATAACAACAACCACGTAACCCAATACGTTGATGACTTCATTGGATATTGGGGAAATAGCATCAAAATGTGGTTTTCATGTCAAACAAGTGGTGACAAAAAAATTCCAATCTCGTTACCGATAACCAAACCCTTTTATCTGCTGCCTTATGGGTCACGTGACTGTCAACAAGTCAAATGGATGGTAGCAACAACTGAAAGGATCAAGTACCACACACGGAACTACAAAGGCCATAAACAGAACGGTTTTGGGTATGAAACAGTACCATATCATGAAATCGGTGACATTAATGACAAAGGAATCACCATGTATTACTGCTATTACAAAAGTAAGGCATAAATATTAATATACACAGTAAAAAAAATAAGTATCAATAGATGAATAGGCGTGGGGGAAAGAACAGAGGGAAACTGGACTGGCACAGCAGTTTAGGACGGTGAGAGCTACTTTCGCGGACACACATCTAGGGACGACAAATGAACAGTAATATCACGAAATTGCAGTAAAGTGCCGTATAATCAATTTATTTTTTGCCGGCGTTCCTTGTTCATACGTAAAGCATGCGTAAGAAAACAATTTCCGCAAACATTGCGAGTGACTAAAGCTCCGTTTACACTGGCAGTTTTTGCGGCGATTTTTGCTGCGATTTTTGTGGAAATTTTCGGAAATATGAAATCTTTTGTCTCATCCTTCAAAAGAGACATTCGTCTAGGAAAATCTTGGTATCCCTTAAAAAAAACTTTACAACTAAATTCTTTACCATTATTTATTATGGACAAAATCGCAAAAAAATCGCAGCAAAAATCGCCGCAAAAATCGCTAGTGTAAACGGGGCTTAAAGACTTAGGCAAATTTGGCTCATATTTTAGTGAGTAGATAGCACAATAATTTCTTTTACCCCAATAAAAGTGCTAACATTTTTCATTAAAATCTCTTAATTGATCGAAAGATTCACATCTGATACTAGTTAATAGTCAGTCGGGTTTTATGAGATGAAAAAATTCATTTAATTAAGTTCATTTTATCACATGTACAGGTTGCAACTACACTCTGACAGACAAGAAAGGTGTTTTCCAGTCCCCTCGCTTTCCTGGTAAATACCCGGATGGACAGCTGTGCTCGTGGAGGATCATAGTCCCTGATAATCACACTCTACTTGTTCGCTTCACTAACTTCTCTTTGCATGAAAGTGCAAAACCAGACAATTTAACATTTTTAACATTTGTCGATGGTAGTTTCCATTTAAATGACACCTTTCATGGTCATCACAATCAACCATTCACCATTACGGCGACTAATGATGTCCTTTTTGAGTTTCTTACAAATGAAGAGGGACACAGCACTGGATTCAGGGCAGAGTACACTGTATTCAAAACACCCGGTAAACATCAAAAAATTGTTTTTTTTACTATTTTTTTATATGTTGGACTATATTTGGACTTTATGTTATAACATGCAACCCTTGAAGTGATGCCACCCCTGGTCCAAAATTGCAAGTCCATTACACTAGCATCCAAACAAGTGTTCGAGTTTGTTTGTTTGTATTTTGTTGTTGTTGTTATAGGTTTTTATATTTGTCATAAAATTTAGCACCAATAGCAGATTATTTTCGTAACCCCTGACGAAGCAGGCTACTGGAAACCATTTCTGCAAAATGCAGTCGCCAAATTATGAGAACACACTGCAACTGCTACGCAATGCGATGTTTAATGTAATACATTACTAGTTGAGGTATTTTAGCGCAAGCAGGGTGACCTGCAAACCTGTCACCATTTTTGCACATTATCTTATTTTGAAATTTATTTATATTTGATTTATCTCCAGAAACAACACCATCCTCGCCACCATCCACGACAAGAAATATCAGCCAACACACAACTCTGAGTACAAACACTTTGACAGGACTTCCAACAACAAAAATACCCACAACAGAAACTGGAAGCGATAATAATAATAGCAAAGCTGACAACTTAAAACCTCCAGAAACTACACCTTCCCCACCATCCACAACAAGAAATATCGGCCAACACACAACTCTGAATACAAACACAGGAGTTCTAAATACAACAAAAATACCCACAACAGAAACTGGAAACGATACTAATAATAGCAACGCTGACACCTTAAAACCTCCAGAAACTACACCTTCCCCACCATCCACAACAGGAAATATCGGCCAACACACAACTCTGAATACAAACACTGTGACAGGAGTTCCAACAACAAAAATACCCACAACAGAAACTGGAAACGATACTAAT